GAAGGTGTTGAATGTTCGGCAGGTTAAGCGTAGCTGTAGGCTAGTTAAACTGCTCCTCATAGTGTTTTTCTTCAGCGTTCCAGTCGTCTATCCTGGGAGCTAATTATGGTGCCATTTTTCTCCGAGATTGTTTCACTTATCACTTGCCTTTGCCACGTGTTTCTCTGATAAGCCTAAGTGGTTGTCTGGTGTTGCCAATCGCCGATGCCGTTTCCATCTCTTTCGCTTAGAGGGAAGTGAAATACCAAAAGAATTTCCACTGAGGTAATAATGCTGATACAAGTAAAAAAAAAACTTGGGTATTGTGATAGAGTATAACTCCATAATGGATAAGACTTTATTTTGAGAAAGAACACAGCTTTTACAAGTTGATCACCGACAGATATTAAATCTAATCCTTAAAAACCATATACTGAAAATCAGTGTTATACAGTAAAATTAACTGATGACCAGCTTTCCAGCACAAATCATTGCTCATAATGATATCAAGTCACTCACACAATTTTTTGCTTCATTTACATGAGTGAAATTGATTAGACATTTGAATAAAATCAGTGTCAGATAAAGTACATTCAGATATAATATTAGTGTTAATAATGAAATACAGTCAGATCGGAGATAAGATGTTTTATTTTTACAGTAAAAATAAGTAACTTGTAAGAATGTTATTATGTGAATTGTATGCATTTTAACATCATTTATTATTCTCTGATTTGAATGGTACCAATATCTTTCATATCCACTTACTTCAAAAAAATCCCAAATATGAGCGGAGTTCTTTTTCTATTTTAATGAACGACGCTTATTATGTGTATTCTCACAATGCCATTCGGTTGTGCCATCACCAAAAAATATAATTTATCGAACTTATGATGTGCCACATAATGAACGCTGTTCTCTACAGTGAATTCCGTTAAATTTGCGATGTTACTCTATTCAGTCTCATGGTTAACTCTGTATCATATCATGTTTATTGAATTATTTTCAGCTAAATCTAGCTGCTGGCATTGTTTTTAACGGTGTTCTCGTTTTAATATTACCATTTTGTCACATGAGTACGAAATATATATATATATATATCTCATCTCCTTCTCACACGATCTCCTCCATGTCACCCTCATACCGACGACTCACTGGTCGCTTCTTATTTGTATTCCACTCAAGCGATGGCTTGCGTTACGCGCGATGTGATTCGACGGTCTCTTCAGTGCGTGCTCTATCCGTCTCCATTTTCTACTATACATTTGCTGCATCCAGTGCATCCTTTATTCTCTCCAGGATGATGCCACTTAGTTTTTTACTTGGCGTGGCGTGGATAAGAGCATAATTCCACGCCAATTCTTGCAGATGCCTAAGACGTCTTTCTTTGTTCGTTTGACAAGGTATGCAGACTTTCTCCTAGTTATTGGGTACTTTTACTTCCTTACAAATCTTTTGAAATAATGACGTGAGTACATTTGTGGCAGTCGGTGGGTCGGTTTTCAGTTCTTTGGGACAGGAGAATTCCGTCTGGCTCTGCTGCCTTCGCAGCCGGAATTCAGTAGCCTGATCGCATTCGAGATTTCTGCTTTCGTTCAAGGATTGCTACCCACTGGCAGTCATGTGCGTGCTATTGGTGGTGGTGGTAGTGTTTCTGGCCGAGTTGCAGTTGATGTTCGATTCAAGAGTCCTTTAACGTGATCAGACCATTGTTTTGTTTGTTTATCCTCTTTATTAAGTAGGTTCCCTTGACCATCTTTTATGGGTTTCATCTGCGTTGATCTCTTCCGGATAGAAACCTGGCTTTCTGAGGTCTCTTTTACCCGCAGCCTGTTCTACTGTAATTGCCAGTTTGTCGTAGAATTGTCTTTTGTCTTTCCTGGCACTCTTCTTCACTTCTTTATTCGGTGCAGTGTACATTTAACTTAGCTTATCCTTCTGTTGTCCATATTTGCATTGAGTCATTTTCTCTTTCAACATCCTCCTCTCCTCGATTAGCTTACAGGTATATGTTGAGAACTATTCCTTGTCTTGTCTCTTTTTTCTTCCTAGAATAGTTGTACACATTTCCTTGAATATCGCTTTCAGAAAGTTCCAATGTTCTTCCACCCAGGTTTCCTCGGTGATAACACGTAGTGTCTTCGACTTTGCTCTGATCTAACCTGAAGTGAAGGCATCTCTTGTGGTTTTGTCCTTTAGTTTCTGAATGTTGAATTTGAATTGTGGTCTGTCTCCAGTTGTTTTCAAGGATTTCGGCTTCACTGTGAACTAGATGATAGTCTGAGCCCACACCTGCTCCCCTTCTCGACCTTGTGTCCATCATGCTAGCTGCGTCTCCACTTCCTTGAGTAGTGTGGGGATGAAATCTATCAGGTTTGTCGCATGTCCGTCAGGCTAAATCCATGTTGCTTTGTGTATATGCGTATATGTGTTTATACACGCTGCCCGCGATCACCAGGTCACTGAAACTGCAGAAGTCTGAGAAGAGTTCTCCATTGTCATTCATTTCTCCCAGAGCCTCTCGACACATGATAAGTTCTCTTCCTGTATTATCTGCTCCCAGTGTGTCTTGTATTCACATCACCCATAAGGCTTTTGATATCACCATTTGGGGTGTTGTCCATTACTGATTGCAGTTGTCTATATAAATCGTCCCTCTTCTCTTGCTTCGAGTTGTTTGCAGGCGCGTAACATTGCATGATAATTGTGACCTTCCTCCCTTTTGAGTTGAATCTTGACGTCATGATCCTGGGTGAAATCGGTTTTCACTCCATTAGAACTTTGGCTGCCACTGATGACATCATGATAGCCACTCACTGCCTCAGTGTGCTCTTGGTTGTCGTCTGGGTGACCAGAGCGGAGGAGATTACTGACTCTCGAGTTGACAACTTCGAGAATCTGCATCCATTCCATCTACTCTCACAGATACCCAGTACTTCTATGCCATATCTTCGCATTTCTTTGGTTACCTGAGCAGCCTTCCTAGTCTCGTACATTTTACGGACATCCCACTTCCCTATTCCTACTATTCCTTCAATCGAGAGAAGACACATTGGCTGGCTGATTGGCTTCTCAAAGGCTTTCACCAGCCCGCGTCATTTCGCCTCTCCGATTCCAGCGAAGAATAAGATTGTCATTTGAAGTTTTTGTATTGTTAATACATTTTGTGTGCGCTTCAGTCTCTCTAGAGGTTTGGTAAGTTTAGTGGTGTGAGGTTGCTAGCCCCATGCCCAACCCTCCCTCTCCACCCAGCCTTGGGACCGGCTAAAAGACTAAGAAGCTAGTTATGTAGGCGAGGTTTAACGTGTTGAAAAGCGTTTTTGATGTATTCAGGAGTGGTTGTTTTAGCAACACAACTAGATCACAGTTGGTTCGGAGACACTGCATACTATCTACGGCTTCTGATTGGTCTGTGAAGTTTTTTCCCCATCTTAGTTGCTATTAAATTATTTTTATCACATAATTACCAAAATTCCTGGCTTTCTCTAATTAAGAACACAGACCACAACGAACCAACTCAAGGTTATAATATTGGTATATTATTCGTATTTTGTGATGAATCTAAATGATCCTAAAGGTGAAGTGATCCATTAGTTTCATATTGCTTGATGTATCAGTGATCGAAATATTTAGTTGACTGTAAACTCTATTTTTATTTGATAATACTTTTTACTTATTTGAAATTCTTTTATGATGACCCCCACAGATTTTAGAGAAACGAATGGAGTTATATACAAATAAAGTATAATTATATTTCAATAGTTTACACACAATGATAAATTTTGTTATTGGTAATTTTGCTCGAAATATTACCAATAACAAAACTTATCATTGTGTATAAACTATTGAAATATAATTATACTTTATTTGATCTAATCCACAATGCTGAAACTTTTTACGGAGTTATATACATCTATATCAAGGTGCATACTCATTATTTACTACACGTTTTAAGTCATACAACTGAATCCCGCTGGACTCATTAGGTGATATTACAGTATATAACAATCTAAAGTACATCGTTTTTGTTTGTGATTTGTTGCACGCAATTAGCTGGCATAAATAATCTACGTAAATAGTTTGTAGTTCTTAGTGTATACTCCCCGGTGTTATATATATATATATATATATATATATTTAGTGTATGCGTATATTGATCGATTGATTTTTTGTTTAAACTGAACTCTGTGCAAGTATGTTAAAATTGTTGTTGTAGATATATTTAACAATGCCTTTGCCATGTAAGCAGCTGACGAGAAGGCAACGAAATAAAAGATGGTACCATTTTATTCTGCTAAAACTGTAGTTCTTGCATTGTTCAAATTCATTAAGGGGAATAAATGTATGAAAATGAATTAAAGTAGTGAATGGATGTACTTAAAGAGATCAGCATTGTGACCTAAGATCAACCAAATCCAAGACTAATAAAACTTTGTTTTCCCATAAGAAATGACTTCAGCAACTGCTCACAGTATTTGAAGTCGTTGACAAAAGACTCCTATGCACCTCCTGTGGCGTATACAATAACTAGCCTGTACTAACAAGATAAATAATGACATGCTTAGATATATTTAGTACCAACGTCTGTCATACCATGTCAGTTTCAGATTCTAAATTTTGAAATTACTGCATAATATACGTTGATATAAGAGGAAATTTGACCATAAGGCCAGCAGATAGACAGTACTCTTTGTTGAACTGAGAAAATCATAATCAAACGATGATGGTGGCGACGAATCATAATAAACGGACACGTTTCTTTTGAGAAGAAATTATAGTTTGGGATTATTTTTGGTTACCACACCTGAAACCAGTGTAATCTGAACTTAACTTTTCTGAAGATCTTCACGTACTGTCAGCAAAGTGTCATTTCAAAATGGAAATAAGACTGATCTCAAGACAATAATTATTCATATTACTTTTGATATACAAACTATATCAATGTCAAATGACAATAATACTGACTGGTATATAAATAATTTTAGGAAACAAAAGTATTAGATACAAAAAGAATATCTTACCTTAATACGGTTAACAACCTCTTGAGCTTGAATCATACGGGACATTCGTGTAGAGTGTTTATTGCACATAATCTGAGTACTTCCCATATATTGAGCCCGAAATAACAAACCGTGTATAAGGACGTCTGGATGCTCAGGATGTCGAACAGAAACTGGAAACATAATAATAGTATTTTTAAAACTTCCGGAATAATTAATAAAATTAGGGAAATAACAAACACATTCCAAAACATATCACGAAGAAACCCTGGAATTCACTGGGCATTCAAGAATCTGAGAATTGTATTCTGCGAGTACGTATGACGATAAGTAAAATTGCACTTAACATTGACAAATATCATGAAAGCCATTTTAACATCCAATCATTTATTCAAAACATGATGCCCACTGCATCTAACACAGACTATATTCCACCATCAGAGTAAGTAAATATACTTACAACAAATTATTTTGCTTAAGTCAATTTTTGTTGTTTCCATAGGCTAATTGGACTGAAATGTTCGGCTCCTGATGACATGTCAGCTCCTATTACACATGATTGGACGATGTCTGAGAATTAACACTGATGTTATTTGATGGATAGTGACTAGCAGTCGTTCAACCAATCAATGGGGAAAAACGAAAATTAACCTAAACAAAATAATAACTTATCTCCGTTGCACTAAAGGTGGCTCTCGTGACCCAAATGGTCTAGCGGATAACGCTTTAGCGTTTGAAATGAAGGCTATTGGGTCCGAGTCTCACTTGGAACAACACCACTCACTAAGCATTGAAGCCACAACCAGATGACAAGTCCCAAAAAGGATGAAGTGCGCATCCTGGATTCCACTGCTAGTCACCATCCACCAAATAACACTTACGACCAACTTGACTACTTCCATCAGTAAGTCGATATTAAAATTATTATCTTTTCTACTACTGGCTAATTAACGTGATTCACATACTAATTTCGCGTTGACAGTAAACTTAGGCCAAAATCTACTCTACATCACTTTTTTACTGCCAATCTTCACATAGGGTAAAATCGAGTAATATTCATTGTAAAACACAGTGCCTAAGCATATAGATTAACTTTCAAAAAGTCAAGTGTCATTATAAAGCTAAAAAGTGTTAAATAAATACCTTAATAAGGAATTATTTGGTATATATGTAGACACAAAAAAATACAACAATACGTAAACTTGCCTTCACGAACTCGACGTTGACATTCAGCCTGCAAAAGTAAAAAGGACAATTTTTAAAAATAACTTTCACGTTGAAATAATACAAAATATTTGTTCCACGTAATTTTCTATAATATATGAACAAAGAAGGAGGAACACGTTGAGGTGCTAACGAAATATAATGACGTCATTTTATCACGCTCAATGTGCTTTTGCTTTGTTCAAGTTTACCAAGGGAAATAATCGTATGAAGTCTCTGTAATATGTTGGGTTTGGTGAATTGACTTACTCAACCTAATCCACCAAATGTACTAATCTTTGGGTTTGTTTGTTTGATACATTTTACACAGTCTTTAAAATATTCTTGTCCAACCTAATTAGAACAATGAAAAAAAAACTTACTCATCACACTCATTTACGTCATCTGTTTTCCTGTGTACACACATCAATCAAAACCACATGATTATTACAATTAATATAACTGCTACCTTGACGTGGTGGTCGGGTTAGCATATCTCAATGGCCAAACAAGATAGACTGGCTGTAACTAATGTTCCTGTAGGTCCTTCCATGTCAAGAAGATTATAAGGATAGTGATTACACTACAAGCAGTCACCGGCATAGTGTAAGATTTTTGTTTGCACTATGATGAGTGTCTGTGGGCGGACTTATACTGCTGGGGAATAGGGATGTAACAGCAGTAATGTGTTTCCTTCAGCATGCCAGCTATGCTGTCTTTCCACTCTGGAGAGAAGGGGTTAGAAAAGGTTGACCCCAAAATTTATACTTCTCGACTTACCCTACGGTGATCCGTTCGAGTAGAGTGTCTTGATCAGTGCGATGTACTTTCTCAGAATTCCCTTTACAGCCAAGCATCGCCAGAGTACCTCTCGGTCGACAGAATCGAATGCTGTCTTTAGGTCAATAAATATAATGATCGTTGGACGCCGATAAGAATGCCTATGTTCTAGAATCTGTTGAAGGGTGAAGATATTATCAATACACCCTCTTCCTGGTCTAAAGCCTGCCTGGCTCTCTCGTGTTTGTGCCTCCCGAGCACCACTTAGTCTACGCATGATTATTGAGCCTAGAAATCTAGATACCATATTAGTCAAGCTAATCCCCCCTCGTGATTGTCACAGGAAAACTTGTCTCCCTTCTTGTATATGGGGATGATCAGTGACTTACACCAACGACGCCTAACGCGATGTTTCCTTCTTTTAACGGACCTATTCAGACGGACCGCACACATATGGCTATCTACTGTAATCCAGTCAAGAAGTGATTTTTCCTCCCTAACACTCAGTGCTACTCCTACACCTAGGAGTGCTCGCGAGGTGACTTCGGAGTCTCCTGACACCCTTAAGGTGAATTTTGTAGATTCACCTTTTTGACCGGGTGAGGTTAAATGAATGATCACACTAGGGTCGTTCACGCGTGTCTCCGAAACACAACGTACATCGATGGCTCGAGATGCCAGAGTTGTGGCTAGTGATGGCTGTTCTCCGATTTGGCATAGGGTCCTGACGTTAAATGCTCGTATATGAAGTTGGCAACGTGGCTTTAAAAGGCTATCTGGGGTGTTTTTATGGCTCTCATCGTTGTTTGTGGTCACAGAGTGAAGTGAAAATGACTCACTAGCCTTCAGAATAGTACTAACTGTAGTAGAGAAGCAAGATGAGAAAGGTGATGTAAATGAAGGGGAATGATGCTCAGGAAGGCTTTGTGTGGTTTTGGAAGTGTGTGGGTGGTCGTTACTCCCCGGCTGCCCACACCATGGAAGTTGATTAATTATTCTGGTACCTTAAATAGTGAGAGGGTTAGTGTTGCGTAACCGCAGAGCCCAAGGGACAACTGCTTGAGGTCGATCACACACGACCTGTATGAACTGGTTTCTGGGATTGGTTCCGTATTAGTAAACTTACCGCCTGTTACGGACCACCGTAGGGTAAGTCGGGATGTACAATTTTTGGGGTCGAACTTTTCTAACCCCCTCCCTCCGGAGTGGAGAGACAGCATAGCTGGCATGCTGGTCATCTGAGGGAAACACCTTCCTGCTGTTACACCCCTGTTTCCCAGCAGTACGACTTCGCCCTCAGACCCCCAGCATAGTGTAAGAAAGATTATCACATAATGCCGGTAACTGCTTTTAGGCTAATCGCTATCCTAACAACCTTCCTGGCATGGTAGGACCTGCAGGAACATCGGTTCCAGCCACTGCAGCTTGTTGGGTCATCGCGATGTGCAAGCCCGACCACCACGTCTAGATAGCAGCTATCGGTCGGGATAGCCCAATGTAGAACAGCATGCATTCATACTATTGACAGGGTATGAAACCCTGAGATTACAATATATGGTTCATTATCTTAGCCGACTGACTGTAAAAAGGTGATTAAGGTCTTGTTTAAACGAAGATATGCCTTCTTTAATAAGGCTAATTATGTTTTATGATTAGCCCCTACACAGTCCATAAACCCGAGTTAGGCTACTTACTCAAATTACGAGTCCTTCTAATATACTTAAAATAAATTCATAACGAATAACAAGAGTCAACCCAGATATACTTACCGTCTCTTAGGCAACAACCAGAAACAAAATTTGAACACATAAGTGTTGATTATTCTCACATTTATTCAAAGTATAGCATAACGAATTAAGTGATACATACCTGTATAGAAGATTTATCTTTCAGCTCTGGAATGTATACTTCTTTATCAGCTTGATACTGTTTATTTAAAAGTTGAGCAGTATCCTCATCACTGTCGAAATCTAATAATACGACAAAAGGAAAAGATAAGTAAATTTATAAATCATAATGACAATAACAACAATAGTGCTATTGAGTTTAAATAGCACTTAAATTCCTAACAATCAACCAGTGTAGAGAAAGAACTCCAAGTCATCCGAGATATTCTAAGTGAGAACGAACATCCAAAGGAGTTTAATAAAACCAACATAAGTTACAATATTCGTAAACATGAACTGGTAACGGTGGAGCAAAAGCGTTTAATTTTACGTCTACAATTCGGGGGAGATACTCCAGCGGAGAGTCTATCGAAATGTTTAACCAGGGGGGATAAAGAAAACTTTCCACCTGGCATATCTGCTCCTATCCTTCGGTAGTCATCTAATGTTCACCCAGCAACTGAAAGATGTCTTGCCTATTGTGAGTAAAATTTATTTTGATAAAGTCACACAGTGTTATACAGTAGTATTTAGTGATGACGTTTCGAGCACAATTTATTGCTCGAAATCATATCAAGGTAGTCACACAACTTTCTGACTTCGTTTATATAATTCCATTATTTTTCATCGCTTGATTTCATTGGTAGTAGTATTTTCTGTATTTCCGGTATGGGTGATGGGTCATTCCTATTGCACGTGTTGGGCGATGAACAAGGATTCAGTAATCAACCTCTCTTCCCACCTACCTATAGTACTTCTTAAAATTTTATACGGTGGGAGAGGGTTAAAATTTTCAAGAATTTTCCAATTTGCGTCAGCTCAAGGAAACCTTGTTAAAACATGGACCACCAAAATGAATAACTAATTAAGATTACGCTAAAACACCAGATGTGACCATCATTTATTAACGGAGGGATAATTAGGAGATAGGTTTCTTGTTTTAACATCACTAAACTAATTATAAGTATTTTCACTATGAGATGAGAAATACTTGTAGCTCAAAATGTGGATTTCGAAAAGAAATGATTTCCGGGCTGACATAATTGAGGAACTTCAACCTTACTGAAAATAAAGACTGAAATGTTATTTGAAAGACATTTCTTAAATACCCACAGTTCCAAACCTAACTTTACACTACAATACTATTTTTACAGTAACACAAAAAACTTACCGCCATCTCGACGGTCAGAATGATGTTGAGATAATTTACAGACATTAGTAGCAATATTGTTAGCATGATCAGAATTTCTTGAATACGACTTCATTGATGATTCATGCGAATCATTTGGTTTTGTTGACAGCTGGTATTGTCCTCGCTGTGGACTGTTAAAGGAAGATGATGGTGAAAATACACTTTGTTCTCTCCCTGAACAATTATGAGATTTTAAGTGGGATTTAATAGGAACAGATTTTGCATTTTTATGATGACTTTCATCTTCACTTGAACTATGCACGGTATGTACTTGCACAGGAAATGTCCACTGATGAACTTGTTGTTGAGAACACGAGTCACATTTGCTAGCAGGTGATCCTAAAATATTACTTACGACATCGACTTTGTCATCTATAAAATATTTAACAACAAATAAACTCTTCAGTAATGCTCAAAATGCAAGTAATAAGATAAACGAAAAGTTTAAAAGACAAAGAAACCTTATTGATAATAGGGGGATAAATATGAGACCTAACCAAGTCCATGAAAAAATGGTATAAGGTTATTTATTAGGGGGAAATACTTGTACCGATAGAAGACAAGGGTCACACGACAGATTGTTTACTGAGAAAATTAAAATATTGATAGCAGAGAAGCATAGTCTTCCGATTGGTTGTTTTTTTGCTGAAGGTTATTCTGTCATCTTTTGTGCCCGTTTCTTAGGCAGTCCGGTCATATATCTGCGAATAGTATCTACCCGCTTAAAGTCAGTTGTGATTGGTTGATGAGTTCATCAAAGTTAAGCTTTGTTTTTGTTTTTTCTCATGACCCCGATTCGGGATGTAAACACTGACGTAAATTGTTGTCTAAATTTTGGCTTGTACACAGCTCACCACATACTTTCACACTGAACTCAATCTTATGAATTCATATGGAAACTGATTACTTTTGCTTTTTAAAATACTAATTACGTGAAGAAATGCAATGATTTAATAAAACGAAATCAGACCCAAATGCTACATAGGTTAACGGCTTTTTGTGAAAACATAATTCAGGAAATATTGGACACTCAAAAAGATTGTCTGAAGATATTTAGCAATCGATTTTTTTCGATTTCTATCAACAGTGAGTACTATAAATGGTGTTATAAACCTAATAGAACAAACATGAATAAGAGAAAATTTAATCCAATAAAACACCTAATGTCAACTAGATTCTCACTTCCTGAAAAAGCACTGAAGCATATATACCATAAACATTACAGTATAGGTGTTACTACGATGTGCAAACAATCGTAGCGATGAAACTTTATGTCTTCTAATATCAACATCGATTGATCATGAAATGTAGCTATAAAAAAACTCTGCAAGCAACGTTAAAATCACCTAATTGCAAAGGGTATTATCACACTTATTCTAACCACTTCAAACATTTCTGTGACTGCATACTCATTTTTAATTAAATTATTGCACGTGTCACGATAGTTCCATGTTTTTCAAATGATTATTTCTTCTTAATTTGTTATCTTAACTGCACTAATCATAAACTGTCTACCCGAACGTATACGTAGTAAATTACTAGCTAACAAACACCGTTAACCCCTATTTATAAACGTCTTTTGCAGGTATTTTACGTAATTCCCACATCATGATAAAAATTAACGTTATTAAACGCGAAACTTTACTTACGAGTTACTTGTTCGGGAATGTCTTCATTTGTACACTCAACAACAGCTTGGACAATCTGTTTCCCTTTGCTAATTAAACTCAGAAAATAAATGAAAATATTACACTACGTTTCAAAAACCAGTTAAGCAACCAATGTATTTACTAACTTTAATAGTGAACCAAAAATAATGTTTGATTCAAATAAACATAGCAATACCGCTCTGGTTATTTCAAGAACCAAACAATTAAACTACTTACTGAGGATAACCAAGCAAAGACTCTTGAAGTCTAGATAATCAATTACATTCACGCGTACTTAGTATCGTTTTATTTAATACATTACCGGTACTTGTTACTTCACCCCTACATACGAAATATCTATCTGGGACACCGTGATTTCAAACCAGTGGTACAAATTACCTCAAGAATGTCCAACGAAAATGTTACAGTGACGGGTTTTGGTCACTGAATGGAAGGCAACCCAATTACCTGAATTAACGTACATCCCCACATAAAAGGAAATCAGTCTATCACCCTTCGAACAAGCATATATCAAAGTAAAGGGATATAATGAGACTACAATGGATGATGTTTGGAAAAAAGAACAATTGAATGAAGCTCAGTCAACATTTTCAGAATCTGAAAAATAAAATGAACGACTTATATATATATATATCGCCAAGTCTCCGATCTTCGAATCTTAACATTATATGGACCCATGTAAGATAATCTACATCTCCCCATGCGACTCAGCCAAAGACCAGCACTAACTAATTTCCAATCTAATCTTACTTTAGCCAGCATAGCTTCTCAAGGTTATATAAGAACTTACATTGATATTACGTGCTATGATTCTAGCTGCTATCACCTCAACCCAAAGGAATACTTGCTCACACCAGCAAAAACCCTTGGGATGCGTTAGATTCCATTTACCCAAAACAAATTTTTTATGTTGCAGTTTATGAACTACACTTATTGTGTCAAGGCTGATGATGCTGCCCAGTCACTCAAGTTGAAGTTAACGGGGACGGTTTCAGTCCCGAAATCTACTCAATGAAAGCTGAGATTTCAGGGTGATGGACATCTCTATTGTGATATAAAAGTAAACATGAGTGGGTCGTTTTTGATTGCTTTGGTTTTGATGCCTGTTTTGCTATTCTTTACTTTCTTTTATACTCAAATGCTGTGTACGGTATTACTCAAATCTTTTGCTGTTCATATTGTTTGCACTTTTGATGGTGACTTTAAAACTAAACAATTGAAATAAAGTGATTGAATGAACACGAAACTCTGAAAGTAAAATAGACCGTTCCCAGCTGAAGAGCTCAGATAATTATTAAATTAGATATGAAGCAAATTTTACATTTACATAAAGGGTGATTGCAGTTAGAATGAAGTGAACGATGAAACAAATGTCAACTTGAAACTCTGAATAGAAATGCATTATTTCAAATTACCATACTCCGAAACACTACATTAGAGGGGATGATGGAAATACACTACTACAATAGAAAAACAGGTATGGAAGAGAATAATTTTATAAACGTTACTGAGAAATGTCACAAATGTGATTGGTGATGAACAGTGAAGACTGTACCACTATGCACGACTTGGAGACATATAGTTAGTTTTCTAAACACTAACTCTGAATATCCCGAAGGCAACCTACAAATTCCCGTATGACTCAAACACTTAATATCATGGATTAGTAACACGTTTAGGTTTGTCTGCTCTTAACTCCCTTATAGTACAACCACATTTCAGAGAATGTTGCTCTTTTTGGAAGACGAATATTGACCACCTTAGTCGGTACTATTATTATTATTCCTTTGGGTTCTAAGTGGAATATAGGGCTTCAACATCTCCACTTTGTTCTATTTTCTGCTGTCCTCTTCAACCGAGTCCACGGTCCAATAATTTTTCGTCTCCTACCACAGTCGGTAGCTGCATAAATTGATCAGTCTTTCCTGCTTAACTATTATTATTATTCACCATGTAGTTGCATTATAGGCACATAAACATATGAAGATACGTACAAGTAGAATTTTATTATCTTTTGATATTTGCGTTCAGAAGCCACGTCAACCGTACGATGAGACAGAGCAGACTTGTATGCAGCAGCTTGCTTGGTTCTGCTTTACAGCCGAGACATGACTATTAAAGGTGGATGAAAAGAACTACTGTCTCTGACCACAAATCTCTGAGTTCTGTCTGCCGTCTTAAGTGGTATAATATAGTGAATAGTATCGAAGTTAGGCGTGGAGTGCTAGATAAGGAAGATGAGTCCATTGGTGAAGTCGTAGAGCAACGTCGATTGAGATGGCTTGAACATAATACTCATGATGACCCATTGCTTTCCTCGACGAGCAATGTCAGTTGACACGGAACTAAGTTGGAAAGGAGTTGAAAGTGGTTAGATCAGAACCTGACATCAGCCCATGATATCTTCGAAAGCTAGTTTGAGCCATGAAAGAAGGTGCACGCTGCTTGGTTGGGGTCCTCAACACACTAAGAACTAATGACCTAAGACTGTTGGTGATATGGCTCCAAACCATCCTCAATGGCACAAAACGTATTCGCCCTGTAATCTCCTAGATACACAAAGTCCTGTTTATCCATATCACTAATATTGTCCTGCACATTTCGCTCATCATGCTTCTTTCGAATCTATTTTCCTCCACCTCTGTGTACTTTATGGAGTGTGGGAGGTTCAACTGCTGCAACTGTGTACAAAGTAGCAGATTCACTTGAGTTGGAAATCGGACACTTCTTTTACTTTAATTTCCTTCATTTTGTAGGGTTAGAAAAGTTATTTCTTGATGATTACTTTTTCACACCACCAGGGTTTAAAACCAGGGTAAAATGGATATAAATATAAGCTACTCAAGCAGTTTCATACTGAATTGGAACTAGGTCACAAAACAAGTCTTTATTTCCGAATAAGAGCAAAAGTAGTCAATTGTGGGAACTAAGCTAATAGTGTTAACTGAGGTACGACAGACGCTATATGTGAAATTATATATATATATATATATATATATATATATATATATATATATATATATATAAAACACAAGACTATGAACACTGAAGAATATTATCAAGGTGACAGTGTGCACCAACGAACTGATTAAATTAAAAATTTGCACAGAAGTATATCAATTTAATTTGCTACGTTCCAGAACAGACTACAGAGAACAAGGATATTATGGTATACAGAATCGACATAAAATTTCCCACTTTTATTGGTGTTATAGTTACTTTCGCTTACTTTTCGTTAATCTTATTCCATGCACGGCTGAAAGTACTAGGTGCTTCGACAGTTGATACTTCAGAATTTGAAGATTTTTCATTTATTTCGCCATGCTGGTCAATTATTCTACCTGTCTTTTTATCTAGTTTTTCCTTACTGATGGAACTTCCATAGGATTGAACGTCCTCCCTGGTATGTTCTGCAGTACTTAAAGTTCGCTTTATATCCCGAATTTCATTGGAGATATCCTGGACTAGGAACGGATTAAGCAGTGCCCCACCTGTAGGACTATCTGAACAGGAATTACCAGCACAGTTTCCACAGTAAATATCTGTGACTGAATCAGGACTCCCTGAAAATGGACGAATGTCGAATGGAGCCTCTCTAATGCGGGGTCTTGAAGCATGATTAGGACTAAGTGAATCACTCCCACTTGAAAGACCATCCTCTACTGAAGGCATTGCGACAGATGTACACCTAGGATGCGTAACTTGACTTATTACAGATGGAATGACATCATTGGCCTTCTCTGTGAACACGCTTAACAGTGTTTTCGGTCCATTGAGATTCTCACAGTGAAGAGTAGCAAACTTTTTACCAGAAAACGGTGACAAAAGTACCAACTGCTTGGAAATATCTGAAACATCAAATGCTTTTTTACAGTCGTCATTGGAATTCAATGGGACGTCTGATAATTCACTATCTGGCAAGTAGGATATCGGATCAAAAGATCCCTTCAGTTTGGGGTTTTGAGAATCAGTAACGTCTCTCCTCTCGACAGTACCGTCATTAACGTCTAATACCACATTTAGATTGCTGTCCTCCGATCCTCCAAAAGCGCTAAAAGAACTGCCTGAAGTTTTGCACTTCTGCTCAGGAGAATTATTGCGAGAAGTCCCGACTATACATCTCCTAGGTCCGTCATACAGTATCTCAGATGTGAACTGTGAAGGTAATCCATATATCAGAGTAGTTGTATTATTATCTTTAGAGCACACGATCGGGCTTTTTTCGCCCTCACTGTGAACATTTGTTCTGGAAAACGACATAATTTAGTAAGAAGCCGTCAAGACATTTGTAACCAGTAGCGCAAGTGGTCAATTTTACCGGTCTTCCAATATCCAATATCCTGATTACGAGCTAGTATAAACCGGTGATTTCTTTGAGCTCGCTTCTTGACTGTGAGGTAGAGGCTCTAGATCTTCAGTGAGCTTCTGTGTAGTAAATCCCGCTACTCGACTGCTTTAGCTCTGGTAGACTCCAAGAGGAGTGGTGCGGGGATTGGTTAAGATGTGGTTTGTAGTATGCAGTATGTTAGGACTGTGTTGCTGCCGTGAATGGAGGTTGACCTAACTCCCGTTTGTCATCCGGTGTAGTCATAAAAGCAGAATGGTAATAATAATAGGTTGTAGTGTAGATAATATGGGTTCCTATATCCAATATCGTTTTTACGAGCTAGTATAAACTAATTTGATTTCTTTGTGCTCGCCTCTTAATGGTGAGGTATAGGTTCCCGATCTTTGGTAAACTTCTGAGTAGCTCGGTCCGCCACTTGACTGTCGTAGCTTTGGTTGACTCCAAAAGGAGTGGTGCTGGGATTAATTATATGTGGTTTGTAGTATGAGGTGTGTTAAGACTGTTACTACTGTAAATGGAGTTGATTCTTTCACCAGTTAGTCCCCCGGTATCGTCGTCAAAAGGAAAGAGATAATAATAGATATAATTAGTGAAGTTATTCAGACTAACAAACAGAAAAAGAGATAAGAAAACGTAACAAAAGCCAGCTGATTAAATTTTAAGAATAATATGAATAATATATATATATATATATATATATATATCGGTAATAATGATAATAATAATAGGTGTAATTAAAGTTGCCAGGAGAGTAAGATGGGAGAGAATGTAAAGAAGTAAAACGACGAGTTTAATTGCCTACCTCTGAATGGTGTATGCGATTTTAGGGGATCAGCCATTGGCAAAGGTAAACTTTCGACACCACCAACAACCAATCCCCAAACGACCTTGAACGAACCAATTACATTAAAGAGGCATATATGATGAATGGAAGTGTATATTTATAGAAAAAAAGCACAAAATAGAGAATGAAAAAGTTACATGTGATATCTTTCTAGAACATGTGAGAGAAACATCTCCCAGTTTAGCATGGGACTGTCAATGCTTTTCCATCTGCTATCCTTTCGACGAATCCCTTTCGGAGGGAGGTGTCATACAAACCTATTACCCAAATATTGTTCGCTCGCTAGCGACCACGGTTGTATTTCTTTTTTACCAGCACTGTCTCATCGACACGCACGATAACGTTATCCCCACCTAGCAAACAAGTGATTTTCCCCATATTCCATGATGCGATGTCTCTGCAATGCCGGTACCACTGAATTGTTGAGACATGGCTATTCTCCATCTCAGCAGCTGCTGCTCTCACAGCCTGTTTCAACAGCCATCAGTTGCAGATATACAAAATCTGGGTTAGAGAGAGATGCGACCTAGTGAAAGTTCCCGCGAAATATTAAAATTATCAGCTTACCCTCTCCAGATGAACAAACCCATCGTTTGATTTGGTATAGCTTTTTAAAGTAATGATACAACCACACAAACAAATTCGCTCTTTCCGGAGCAACTCAAATCCAGGAAATATTGGAAAACACTAACCTCCTCGAATTGCAACTGTAGCGTTGTAAGGCCACGCATTAGAAATGAATCAAGCGCTATACAACATTGAACTGCGTTCGTGAACCTCATTGGATTATTCGACATCGTTTATGAATCTCATTGGATAATTCGCTGATTGGTAGTTAGTGGTGTCGAAAGTTTAACTTCGCCCAGCCATTTGGATGCAGTCCTTGTGTTGCTGCATGGTTGTCCAGCCTTCGCTTAAAGGCGTCCAAAGACGGTGCCATAGCTACATCTGCCGGCAAGGAATTCCAGGGACGGCAAACCCGCAGTGAAAAGAAGTGGGAGCGCACCCGGGTCTTTGCCCTCTGGTGAGCTATCCTTCTGGGATTTCCACGTAGGAGCCTATACCTACTCAATGGCAGAACACCTTTGTTTGGGTGATTCTCCTCATTTGTTATTTTGTAGGCAGTAATCAAATCCCCCTAAGCCGACGGTAACTAAGTGTGAACAGACCTAATTTCTTCAGCCTTTCATCATATGGTTTGTTTCGGAGACCAACCACTCCTTTTGTTGCCCGTCGTTGGACTCTTTCCAAGAGGTTGGCGTCTCTTCTCAGCATTGGGGGTGCAATAATATTATGCACCTCAAGGTGTGGCCTGACATATGTTTTGTACAACATTAGAAAGAGCTCAGGAGTGAGTGCACCTAACTGTCTATGCGTAAAGTGTATGACCGCATATGCCCTCGCTACATCCCCTGTGTAATTTACGCTTGTGTCCATTTTTTCTGTTAGAACTAGACCTAAGTCGCATTCCGACGTTGTGCAGGACAAGCTTTCATTGCACAGGGTGTAACTTGCATTCTGCAGTCTACAGGTGCGCAACTTCACTACTTTGCATTTTTTCAAGTTGAAAGTCATGTCACTGGCCATCGCCCAGTCTTCCAAAATGTTTAGGTCTTCCGGCAGGCTATCTGAGTCCTCCAGACACTTTATCGCCCTCCATATTTTTACGTCGTCAGCGTATAGGAGGATCGGGCAGCTCAGACGGCGTGGTAGATCATTGATAAAAATCCAAAACATCAGTGGGCCTAGGTTGGGCTTCATGTAGTATATTAGACCTATCCCTGATGTGGTCGTCAATAATACTTTCCAGTACTTTTGATACCACTGGGAGTAGAGCTACTGGTATATAACTAGTGGCGTTTTGCCTGTCCCCACCTTTGAAGATTGGAGAAAGGATGGCTCTTTTCCACATCCTTGGCAGTGACCCCGAATCCATTGAGCGTTGGAACAAGTCGCACAGTGGCCTACAGAGAGCTCCGGCGCACCGTTTCAGAAGAGATAGCTTGAGGTCGTCACAACCTGGGGACTTCACAGGTGTGAGTAACTGTAGCTTCCTTAGTACTATAGCTGGGTTTATTTGGGGAGTAGCCGCTAGGTCTTCCTCCTGTGAAATAGTGGTTCCACCATTTTGGTCCGTAACTGTAATATCCACATTGCTGTTTAGCTGTTTAGCGAAGGCTGAACTGAATGTTTCAGCCATCTCCAGATTAGTGAGATATTGACCATTTGGGCCTACTAAGGCGCTTGCCCCCTGATTTGTCGGTTTTCTTTCCGAAATGAATCGGTACAAGGTTTTGGGGTTTGCTGGGAGTTTTATAGCAAGGTAAGCCTGGAATGACCTTCTGTCCCTCCTGACTCTTGCATTACACCGTTTCCTGAGTTCGAAGTATGCATCGTCATCGGTCTGACTCTTATATACACGCCACGTAAACCAAACCTTTCGCTTTGCTTGCAGAATACGTTGCGTGCCCCTCTTCAACCATGACGTCTTTCTTTTGGACTGTGTTGTGACTAAAGGGACGGTATCTGAAATTGCTATATGAATAATCTTTTTTACCACTTCCCAGTGTTCATCCACAGATAGGTCGTCCCACGCTAAGGGCCAGTGTGCGTCGGACAAGAGCCTCCGCATTTCAGCATAGTCGGCCTTGCTGTAACACTAACGTGGTCGCGTAACGTCTCACCGCAAACGCTCACGGAGAACAAGATCGAAACCTATGATTGTATGATCACTGCTTCCCAGAGGAGTCATGATCTGGATCTTTTCGACGAGTAGTTGGTCACTAGTTAGAATATAGTCTAGTTCTGATGACTTTCCACTAGGGCCCCACCTAGTGTCGTCTCCAACATTCTCAGTCAGTCCCTTGTTTCGAATAGTTCGCAGTAGGTTTCGGCCAAATTTTCCCTCAGCACACCCCGAGCCAGGGTTCAGTGATGGGGCATTGAAATCTCCAGCTATGGTGATTTGGTCGTAGCCCAAATCTCGTATCCCTGTGATAGTGCTGAGCAGTAGCTGATTGCGCTCTGCCCCACAGGTGGGAGATCGGTAGATGCCACCCAGTAAGTGCTTAGTGTGGCCTAAGGTGAAATGGAATGGGTTTTGGGAGTTCACTAATTGGTGGGTCCATTGCACGTACACATTTAAGTTACCTGTCAAAGTATCTGGCAGCTCTCACCTTCCTTGCTATCCCTGTCTCTCGTGACCAAATTCATATCACTTATACTGAATTCATTGTCCGTAATACTGGGTGTTAGCCAGGTTTCATTGCTATACAGGCAGTTGATAGTGAGTCCCACAGCCTCAGTGTGTTGTGGGGTAGTTGGCGTTACGTTGTCTACTGGTAGAGGGATTAATATTGAGACTAGTTGGCTGATTCCGATGTAACTGACTCGTTGTGGGTCTTTCCCTGGATTCCGGTATAACATTTGGGTGACAATGACTGTTAATAATAATATATTCTCATTTTGTGCATGAGGGACGCCAGTTTACAGACATCATTAATATGATACATTACATATACGATTAGCAATCGTACTTAATAATAATGTTTTAATAAAATACATGCTTCTTCCTACCTGTGTAGGACACACCAAATGTACAGGCATGGATAAGCATTATTTAAATTTCATAAAATTGGTCTATGGTTAAATTACATGGTTGTTGACGTCTTTATCTTTGGTTTGCGGGAACAATATGATAACCAGTCATTCAATGGAGCACATCATGAAATATAGGAATATTGTCTTCACATTAACAAAAAACCCAAGTATGTTTTGGATGGATTAAAAATACTTGGGAAAAAATAAAGCTTGAAGTCATTCGCCCATATGACTTTGGTGTGTACAAAACCGAACCTTATTCTTGATTTATATCCAAATTTGGTAATAATTTAAAATAAGTGATACACTTGTATAGTTTTGTCAGCATTTTCATCGTAACATCACAAGTGAATTGTACTCAATGGGGGCTAATAATGATAGTTTATATTTTAATATAAACGAGTGTTTTCAAGAAATAAAAGCTAGTTTTACAGTTGCGATCAGTTATGTTGTAAGTTACAATCGTGA